AAAAGGCAATTAACATAAATCAAGATATAAAAGTCAGATATTAGGAAATGAAGAAAATTTTAATTCCTCACGGTGAATCTGTTCTTTCAATCAGTTTCTGCACACAGCTTTAAAATCCAGAGCTTCTACAGCCACAACTGGGATTATTATTTTTTTTTTAATGTAGTTTGGATTTCTTTTACCAACAGCTTCATACAAGCTGAAATAACTCTACTATCAATTGCTAAGTAACATATTTTATTACAAATTTACCACCATTCATTACGCCACATGCCACTGCAGTCAAGAGCTGCATATCTTTGAGAGTTTTCAAGTGCTGCGAAATAAATGTTACAGTTTAGAATTGAAGTTTTAAAAGCTATGAGGTGAAAAGATAATTAATATCAATCAGCTGCTAATTTAGTGCCTCTGCATAACAATAGCATGATTAGAAAATATTGAGTGCACAGTTAAACTGGTCATGCCTCCCGCTGGCTCACAGCCAAGCAGCTTGAACAGGAAAAAAATAAAATGATGTTGATTGCACAGCGAGATAGCCACTTAGAACCATTGAGTCATGTCAGTTTGTTGCATTTTAAAATAAATGAAATATTTCTGCTATCGACTGTCCTATATTTAGGCTACTTGCCTTCAAGAAATGCTAATAAAGAAGTAAGCTTGCTTGAATTTTACTCTAATAGGGATCTGTAAGTGAAATGTATGTGTACAATATTAGCTAGAAATTAAAATATACTTTTTATTTCTGTTACTGCTGTAAAAATATCTAAGTAAATATTAGCTATGAGTAGATATTTCTCTTTTGAATTTAATATACAGTTAAAAATTAGCTATTGGTATATATTAAGATAGCAGTGGTGGCAGTGGTTTGGTTTTAGTTGATTGCAAGTCTGACACCAAAGGTGTCATGGGAGGTTATCTTTTAAAATTTAAATTAATTGCATAGCTACAACCAGTCCACAGTTTGCTTTTTGTCTTAATTTGAGATTATCCCAGGGACAAATAAGCACCAAAAAGGCTATTTTTGTATTTACTTATAGGAGAAAGATTCACTAAATATTTAATTATAAAGAAACAAAAACAAAAATGCAGGATAATCCATTTTAGATTTGAACATTGAAACTGTTGAATAAATTCAGTAAAACAGTCCTTTAAAATGCAAACTGTAGTGCTTCTAGTGACTAGACATGATTACGCAATGGAATGTATTTATTGTAAAAGACACAATCTTTTTATGCCGACCCCTGACCTCTGGCACCCGAGGAGGGAGCCATATCTCATCTATCCTCTAACATAAACCATTACTAGATGGCTAAACGTATATTCATGTTAGATTACAATGTGTAGGTCCATGTCTGGCAGAACTGTGCTGTGTTTTGGACCTACATTTTAGTTTGCAGGTGAAATATCCTCAATAAGCAAAAGAAGAAGTCATGTTTCTTTCCATTTAAATCAAAAGAAAAGCCATTTCCTGGAAAACTCAGAAGCTACATTAGTGCATCACACTGCAATTATTATTTTTTTGACCATGACTGCCTGTGGGGATAGCACAGTAGCCATATGTGAATGCAAATGTTGTACCATAACAGTCTGACTAAATCAGGACATTCACACATTTATTCCTCAAGTTTCTGTAAAAGAGATCTCTTACAGAGACACACACATTCCCTGTTGCTATTTATCATGAAAACACAAACTGAACCAGAGGAAAAAAGAGAATAAAAAAAATAGGTGCTTATAGTTGGAAAATTTTGCTAAAGCTTCTTCTAGCGAGTAAAATGTTTAAAGCATTCCAGTTGTTCCCCTTGGGAAAAATAACTGCAAGTGTCCTCAACTCATGAACTATCCTTATCTCAAAGATTCACTATCATAGTGCAGCTGCACTGGGAATAACCACGAGACGCAGTGTTTCAAACATTTTAAATATTTCATTACGTGTTGGTAGGTGCAGTCAAAGTTTAGCAGAATGTCAGTGTTTGGGGAAAAAAATGCTAAAGAAGCTTTGAAATTTCTAATCCAAAGGAGTTTTCTTAAGGCTCCCCCTCCAGCAATTAGTTCTAATGGCACCATGCCCAAAGCTGAAATTATTCAGCAAATTAGCAACCTAGAATGGATGAGGGTACGTTTTGTGAAGGTATCAGGTTACAAAACAGGTAGAACCAGATGCACAGGAACAGTAATTGTAATTGTAGTTAAAAATCCTGTTGGCATATAAATGTATCAAACTGGTTATTTATGAAAATAAGCAAAATAAAATGTGCAAGCAAATCATCTCAACAACTTGACTAAAACTGTCACTATGTTGAACAAAACCTCCTTTGATTCTGGATATTTTTCTGTTTCTCTTGGACTCCAAACTTTTCTCAGGATCTGAAATTTATCATGTGGAACTGATTAAACAATATGGACAATATATGATCCATGTCACTGCAGACAGATAATAAGAAAATGTACTTTAACTTTTTGCTTAGTAAAGACATTCTTCAGAACTAAGAGAAACTAAAAAAGTAAGAAAACTATCGACGGTACCTGAGCAGCATGTAAGGTTGTTGTGATTAAATCTAAAAGCTGCACAAGAACATTGTGAAGAGATTTGGAGAACGAAGATACATTTATATGAAAGGTCAAATCTGTGGTATTCTATGCTCTGCACAGAAATGTAAAAAAAATCTAATGAAAAACATATTTTTCCATCATTGAAATAAAATAGCAAGGCTAATGAAAGAAGACAAGAAAAGAAAAAAATTACACAAGTCTTCAACAAGAAGCTGATCAAACCAAGACCGTTTTCCAACCGCGTCCCAAACCTGTAACATATAGTGAAAGGCAGACACCCACGATAAAACCTAATATCCAAGAAAGAGGTCGGTCTTAAAAAAGCAAAATGACTCATTAGACAGTTTGTGTATTTATTAGAGCATGACAAGTTGTTTTCTCTCTGCTGCAAATCAAGACTGTCACTGGCTTCTCCGATCCAGCTATAAGTCTACCGGTCCGTGTCCTTGCCGCTTTGCTGTCAAACATGTCCTTGATGTTCATGAGGCTGAGATGGTCCCCTGCATCATGTCAAGAGCCCCATCATCAATTCACAAACTCATCTGCTAAATATGGAGACGGCAGGAATGGAAGCCGATTCAAAAGCCCTGAGCTGCTCGGCTGTTTGATGTAATTAGCTGCTAACAACAAATAGGCTGCCGCTTTGATGTCATTCTCCCAGCTGCTCTCTGGAGAGCAAATATCCAAAAAAACTAAAATTACACCAGTAAAGTTGTCTATTTTTAAAAGTGGTAAACTTTGAGCCGTGAAGTAAATCCAGTTGTAATAATCAGTAAAGCACACTGGTGGCAAATGCTGCTGATAATCCAGAGATTTTCTGCATATTTTAACACCATATGAAAGATGAAAAAAAAATGTTAGAGGACTCTTGTATGTGTAGTCATAATACACTTCATTACTTCATTTTTCAGAACATAAAATATGCAAGGAAGCACCAATTTGTTATCAGGTTAATTATCTTTGTTGCGGAGCTGCTGGAGCGTTCATTTTTCCAGATTAATGAGTTTTGCCTTGTATTTACTCTGTCGGCTGATTTCTCTGCTGTCACAGTGCTGCTGGGGTCTGATGTAAGAGTAACAATATTGTTCCCAACCGCCCCCTAAAACTGGACATAGTCCTCTATTTGACTCTGAAAACAAGCATTTTAATAGATCGGCTTGATTTTGCAATACACTAAAATAAAGATTGATCATTGAAAACAATTATTTATACAGTAAAAAATAGAATTGAATCTATTCTATACAAGATATAAGAACCTGCACACATTTATTGGCATTATCAATTTTACTTTTTCTTTTTTTATATATAAAATTAACTTTAACAGTCAGAATATAGATGACTTATGTAAGCATTTAACAGTATAGGACAATCTGAATGATTTACAGATACGAAGGGGCTTTGAGACGGGGGGAGGGAGCCCCATGGCAGCGCCTGATGAAATATTAGAGGAGCAGAAAAGATATAGAGCCTTCAAAGGGAACAGTAACAGCAGAAATAGTGGATAGGACAGTTATTAAATTACTACATGTTGCTAAATAAACATGCTACAAGGTCCATCTGTAGCATGGAAGAAAAGAGATGCAAAATAACATTATGCTAAGAAAGGGAAATATGTCATAATAACGTTACAATGTTAGTGCTTTTTTATTATAACGTTGTTTCTGTTATGTTTAGAGCCAAAATAAAAATTGAACTATAAATTGAATTCGGTGGAGCATAATTGATTTATATGGAATACACTTTGCTCCATATTTCAGAGAGTCTGTGTAAATCTGTTTTAGATGCTGATGATAGGATGAGCTGGGGCTTGAAGGACATTTATAAATCCTTGCACATAAGTCACTAGTGTCAACTACAACCAATCAAACATATCGGTCATTAGCATTGCCAGGATATGCTTCATGTCACTATTTTTAGAAAAATATCCAGGCATACAGTAGTTCACATGCTGCTGGGAATAGTGCCAAGAATTATAAAGAGTGCTCTAACTCAGAATTAAGTTTAAAAAATCTATACATTTAACTTCCAGGAATCAGATGGAAGAGCAGCAGCAGATTTATTAGCTTCTACAAACCAGTGATAAATTAGTTATTGTTTAATAAAAACAAATAGATTGTGTTTGTGTTGGATGTTGTGCAGATTTCCAGTCTGTAAATACTTGAGATCCTCTCAAACAATGCTTATAACGCTCTATGTTCATAGTTTACACACCAATAAGGTTTATAATCTCTTGCCCCAGGCTTATGATATCATGGAGACTTGTGTGGGTTTAGAATCTGTTTTGACATTTTTAGTGAAAGGAAAAAGGGCAACCTGGTCAACAAACAATGAAAAACCAGCTGCAGTGTGAACTTACAGACAACCAGAGGTCTTGACAGAGATCTTGACTGTTTTCAGAAGTAAAGAGACACAATTGGGTTGTTTGTTCTTAAAATTAAAATCAATACCGTTCCCGTTGCCCAGGTAGAAATATCCGTCAATGAGCGACGCGCCATTGTTGAAGTGTTGGGTCATGTGATCCAACCAGTTGGCCTCCACACCTTTGATGCCTTCTTCATAGCTTTGAACTCGCAGAGGCACTTTGACAGTGTAGTATTTCACCTGGCCTTCTCGGAGCGGCGGGTTGTTGTACAAAGCCAGCAGTTCCACTCCTGTTGAAGGAAGACAGGAAAAAGAACTTTGTAATTGATTTGAATCGAGAATCTGTTGCATCTGAGGACGGTTTTTTCTGCCAATATGAACCACTGCCACGCTCTGGCTAAAATCCAAAGTGTAATCCAAGTCTCCCTGGGAAGACTCTCAGATGCAAAAAGTTGCTCTGAATTTCTCAGTAAACGGTTGGCTCCAGCACAGAAGAGCTTTGTTCCAAGAATATATTGACAAGTTATTGTAATTTAAAGTTTGATATCTGGTGTTTGGCTATTTTCAATCACTCACTTATCTAATTTCCTGAGACTTTGTTGCAATAACTTGGTAATTCTCCACTGGGTTCAGGCTTTTCTTGTCCTCTGAGATGAAAATCAAAGAATTTCAGCCAAAACATGAACAATCACAAGCAACACGGCCAAGAAAAGTTGGCTGCACTGTTCGTAGTAATCATCCATCGGTTGCAAATAACAGTTTGTGTGTTTCAACGCAACTTTATTCCACTTGATGTGAAATCTGTTTCTGCAATGCAGTAGATGATATTGCGTAAGGTCTGCAGATGTCATTATTTAAAAAGCAGGCACAAAAAACATTATTTAGAATAATAATGATACAACAAAAAGGATATTTGGCAATAAATAAAAGGTTTCTTGCTACCTGTTTTCCAGGTCTTTTTTAATTGGTTGGTGTCAATAATTTGACATTATTGGCACCAACCTGCATTATTTCTGTGTTGTCATTTTTCTCTCTACCGCTCTGACGGATTCTTTGCCTAAACATTCTGGTGTGAAAAATGTATAATCTCATAAGATTAAAGCTCAATATTCTAATCCTCACAATATAGATTTTTTAATCTCATCTCATGTTTTTGCATTACTAGAGTAAAAATAAAAAGACTTTCAAGTAAATTAGTCTGTAGCTTTCCTACAAAGCATGAAACTGACCCTGGTCAAATATATTTATAACCCTGAGATCCCCAATTATCTCACAGGTCCAAAATAGTAAAGCCCTATTTATTTTAATGAGTTATCTTTTTACTAATCACTGTTAATAAAAGAGATGTTCAGACTACAAATGTATATCAGGTGGAGTAATTGATACAATCCTTCAATTTAACAGTTAAATGCACCTTTAGGTCGTATTTAAGCACAACTAAGGGGGAATTAACAAGTAGTGCCTTAATCCACAACTAGAATATTCAGTTTCTATTGTTACATGTAAAAGAAACACACAAATAATAAAATTAAATTATCTTAGAGTTAATCAAATTAGTTGGTGCCCTCTGTTTTAATTGAGGAACCTTGCTGTCAAGACAATGCATTTGTATGCACAGCACTATAAGACATCTGACAGGTGTGAAATAATAGGAGAAATAAAAAAGAAATACAATATGGGATTTATGATGCCCCGAGCGTGACTCACAAATACATCGCAAATCTTTCCCAAGGATTTTTCCTTCTTTAAATCAGACATGCATTGAATCAAAAGCAATTTTGTCATTTTCACAATACAAGTCATCCTCTTCTTTTCTTTTAAAGTCTTCTATAAATGATGTAACACTGCTGATGCAGAACTTAAAAAGGATCATTTTATAGTAACCGAGTTAATTCATACTATAACCTTGAATAATGCATTAAAAGCTGCACAGCTAGCTATTGTTTACATCAAGAATAGATATGCATAATGCAGTGGGCCTCTGGAGAGAGAAACAGGCTCGGAAATTTATCTACAGTTCGTTTGTCACTGTTCTTCACTCGAATCATACTAAATCAAAGTGCAAAAGAGTTTTAGTAGTTGTGATGCGAGCGAGAAAAATATTTGCTCAGCTTAGCTTTGAAAAAGCACAAAACGTGAGATGTGAGCCGGGTTTGGATCTGTGAGAAAACATTGCCAATTGCGCCTGGTAACATTTTCCCCTTTTCTTCCAATGCAAATGTCAGACTGTCATTCCCCAAGTGAACCAGATGGATGAGCAGAATGTGTGACACTGCCACCCACTCAAACGCTCCAACACGCACACCGATTTTGGATGGTGGTGTTTGGTAATGGAACCGTTGCTTCATCAATTTGGTTCCTCTGTCCGTCCATTCGTCAGCCAGCCAGCCATCCAGGAAGAATGAATCATTTATAACCATTTCTTCTTTGGCTCCACAGACTGATGTGACAGCTGGTCCTCCTAATTCCTTAAATCTTTTTCATTTGCCCCTCTTGAGAAATATCCGATCAACAGCAACAGGAGAAAACTCACACAATCTTCCCGTTATCCTCCCAATGCTAACAATGTTACAACAGGGAACAATATGGAAGATAAATCTTAGGCAACACAAGTGAATTCCCATTCAATGTGCCTCCAACTTGTCAGATCTTCCCAATAGATCTAATTGCTTTTATGTTAACTGGTTTATGGCATCTTACACATTCATTGAAAAATTACATTTTGAAATATAATTTGAAAATTTAATTGTCTCCCTTTGGAATTCAAAAATAGCCACCCTAAAACTTGATAAATGTGCTACAAGGCATGAGCTGATTTACTTATCTAGCCATGCATACATGACTGTTATGACCTGCTTTAGGAAACAGGAACGACTTTGGACAGGCAAAAGATTACAAAAACACACAAAAAAGCTACAAATCACTACTTCTGTTAATTTTTTTAGCCCACTTACTTTTATACAATTTTTTTTAACTTTGGTCCACTTAGCCAGTATAAAACATGAAACAATAAAAAAAAAGACATTGGCAATGTGACAAAAAGAAGTGTAATCACATTAAAACTAGATTCCTCATGGTTTACTCCGTTGCTTCTAGTTTGACTGCTTTGTGGATTAAATTGCAACATAAACGGCAGAATAACAGTCACTGGATGAAAACATGCTTTCTGTCTGCTTTGCAGTATGAACTATTTTCTGAGTTCTGTCTGAATGATTTACATGGTCTAATTAAATTGCAGCAAGCCAACGCCAGAAGGGTAGGTAACTTATTTTTGAGCATGTGAGTATTTTCAGCAGTTCAGAGGAAACATATAGAAACCACAGGAGGCGGATTGAGTGCTTTGCCGAGGGGCAATTTCAGCAGGACAGCGTGGGAGGAAAAATAGAGAAAAATAAGATAAGAAGTCTGCCTTCTGATGTCCATCATACTGGACTGTGAGATAATAACAGATCCACCCAAAGCCAGGCTTTCATGTGAAATTCTGTAATAATTCTGATGGAAATCTGTGCAGACGGACATCTGCCAGAACTCACTGCAAAATCACAGATATCAAAGCCTTGCTACTGTAACACAAAAAACATGCAACTGGAGTTGCACAGTGCAGGGAAGCTGCAACAGAGACCTAATCTATGAATGAAAAACAAAACAATAGGATGAAACTCTTGTTTTCAGTTCTAAGATTAGGAATTTGCTTTTATGAGCTAAAATTTGGTCGACTATATTGAGGTGATTAATAATAGAAAAAAATCTGCATTTACAGTCAGAGATTTCACTACAGAATTTAATGAGATAAAAAGCAACTTAACGTTTTATAAATCAATAGCAAATTTTATATATATATATACATATATATATGTATATATAAAATTATATGTATATATAAATATATATATATATTTTTTTTTATTCTGTAATTTACATTGTATAAACTGCAGAGGAACAGATACTTTGCTACATGGAAGAACACAAAATTTAGTAATCTTTGATCTCTGAGATAAGACATTAATAGCCAACATAAATCTCTTAAAGCAGCCGCTTGCCAAGTTCCTTCCAGAGCCAGGGGGACTTCTTATGCGAAAGTGGCCGGTATAAGACTGTTCTAGCTCATAAAACAACAGTGGTGCATCATTAGCATTCAGGCGTTATGCCAAGAGCGAGAACTGAAAGACTTAAGTGTCACATTAAGGTGAAATTTCTACTTGTAACACATTTTTAACAATCTTTCAGACAACTACGATGGTAGTTTCTGGTCTACGGCGGGTAAAAGTACTTTGTGTTCAAATCAGTTAATATCTTCACAGACATTAGAGATGTGCATATGCAGTGCCTAGTAAAATTATTTCTAAAATTGAGACTCATCAAGCCATACAACACATTTATAACCTGGTGCAAATTTTAGCTTCAGTTTTTTGATCTTAGTTGAGCAGTGCAGTCTTCTGCTGCTGCAGAGCATCTCTTTTTATGTTTAGCACATTATGCATTCAGAGATGGCATTCTGCAGTGCTTTGTTGTTCCAATCTATTTAAGCTACTGATGTCTTTCTAAAATCTGGAATTAGCTATTCTCCTTTGATATCAACGTGACATTTTTGTCCCCACAATTAATGCACATTGAACATTTTCTTTTGTTTCAGGCCATGCTGTGTAAATCTAAAAGATGGCTGTGTGTGGATACCCCATCGGATCTGCAGTTTCTGAAATATTCAGTGCAGGCTGTCTACCCATAACCATGCCACAATCAAAGTTACTTCAATCCTCGTCCTTCACCATTTAGATTCTCGGTTTAAACTTTAGCAACTGGTTTTTGCCAGATCGAGATGGTTTAATTAATTGAGTTGGTGCCATGTGATTGGTTGAGAATGAACTTTCGTACCTTATAAAATGACTAGTAAGTGTTGTTCCAATCAGCACAAAAAAAAAGAAAAAGAAAAGTGTTGTGTGACTGCACGGCTAGCTATAAATGCACAATTTGGGCAGGAAAAAAAGTTTAGAAAAATCAAAAACAGTTTATCTTTCTGCATCTTTCTTAAGTACTTCCATTTGTCAGATTCATACCTGCAGAAAATAACACCGGTAACATTTATTTTCGCACAGACTGTTCCTGCTCATCTAAATTACTTTGATCCCAAAAAGATTTTTCATGAGAAGAAATTGTCATTTTCCCTAACTCATCCAAGAGTTCGTGTTTCCAGACTTAGAGGATCTCGCTAAAGCTCCGATCTCACTGGTGGTGTTTCTTTTTCAGCAGTAATCCATAGCTTTCTGCCAGCCTCAGCGCCAGCACTTGCACAGTGTTCACCTCAAAGATTTGTGGATTACCGAGGACAAGCCAGCAGCAGCAGCAGCAGAGACTCCTGGGCGTTCTCGGCAGACTGGGCATTAGTAGAGAGGGACATGCGATTTTGGCAGACTCCTTCACCGCCCCGGCTGGCTGCGATGCTGGCGCTACTGGCATTGTCACAGAGATTTGGGAGAAGGAACGGGGGAAAGAGTGGAAAGAGCTGTGAAGCTGAGGGAGGTAGAGGACAAGTCAGTGGGGGATTATCTCACAGCAAAAAGCCCAGATGGACCACTGGGTGATGGTGAGCTCCACACCATGTTTGGAGAACTGCATACATGTCAACACGTGATTATAGAGATCAAAAAATTACACAAATGTATTATATAACATCTAAAAATGAGTTCATTTCTATCTAATAGCTGACACGCAGTATATATATATATATGTATATATATATATATACATATATATATATATATATATATATATATATATATATATCTCCTACTGAGACTGCACATGATGCTGACACATATCACAAATAGGTTCAGTGACAGGATGAGAGACTGTAGGAGGCGCTGAAAGTGGTAGGCGTCTCCATCTGTTAATCCCAGACACTCAAAGAAAGCTGAAACTATAAATGTGCAGGAAGAACAACTCAAAGGCGTGTAGCTGGCTTGCTTTCCGAACAGACAAAACAAGCACCTTCCAAAAAAAGAAAAAAAAAACTCCCGGCATCATCAGCTGTGTGCAAATTTGTATGCTCCACAACTCTGGTTATAAGACGACCGTCTTTGTGTTTGACAGAGAGAAGGGATTATGTCCCGAAGCGACACATTGTTGTGTAACATTGCAGGAAATGATTCCTCCACAGACGCAGTGTGTTTTTTGTTTTTTTGTTTTTTTTAGGAGAAATCTGCAGTGGTATTTCTTTCTTAACAAACAAAAAAAGTAGAGTTGCAGACAAAAACACAAAGTTACAAAGATGGAGATCATTTGAGCAGTCAAATCTTTCAGTTTGAATACTTGTGAGGGAACGACAGCTCATTCTCAACCCTCCCGGCAAAATGATGTAATCCACAGTAAATGCACCTGCTCTGAAACCAGCTACAAGTTATGCACTTTTTATTAAGTATAAATCTGTATTTTTTTTTTTTTTTGTCTGGAAATCCATTAATACTACATAGTGAGATTAGTATAGGGGACATAATCTCTGTAGCAGATGCAGCTCTCCTATATTTAAAGTTTTGACCTTTAATTACGATCCTCCATGATTTGGCCTTTCTGTGCAATTTGTAAGAATTACTGTTTGGTCATTTTGCTGAACTCTAAAGTTTAGAGCCTAGAGAAAAAGCATTTGTGAAGTTTTACATTTTGACCTTTAATTATGGTTCCCCTTGTGGATTAATTAGTTCTTACATTTAAAGCATGTAGGAACCCAACTGACTAAAATATGAATCATCATGAGAATTAATCATGGGCATCTACACAAATACATTTATTTTTATATGCCAACGCTTCCAGAAATAATAATAATAAAAAAAAACTATAAGTTGTAGCAAAATTATTAAACTAGAACCCACTGGACTATTTATAGTTATACTTAATGCCAGTAGTACATTGCTTAATAGTGGATCACTTTACTGAAACATAAACAAGCAGACTTTCTCGTAATCTGTTAAAGTGTTTTAAATTAATAGTTATTTGGGTACCTGGAAGGTACTTCTGCTTATTTTCTCTCCCTTATATTAATTTTTTAAAGGATTATTGAATAGGAATGTATATGGGCATTTATTCCTCCTCAAACTTGCTGTTTAAATCTGTATTTGAATATCCAGAAAATCTTAATGACACAAAAATCTTGAAAATTACAGTCTGATAAAGTATGTAACTTTATCAGATATATGAGAATTATAAAACTCTGGAGTTAATTTCAGTTTTTATCTGCCAAACTTAAAAATTTGCAATTAACAAAAAATCAAATTACTATCAATATATGTAACACAAGCTCACTACTGCTTATTTTTCTGCTGTTTATTTTGATCTTTTACAGGGTTAAGTCAGGTTGAAGTACCATGTTGATGCATAAGATGTAAAACATGTAAAAACAACTGAGTTCTTAAGACTGTTCATTTTATCAGATTGTCAGGCAGTCTTTATAAATCTTTTCCAAAATGTGCTCAACTAATTTTTCAGAGGACTTGTCAGGCATAAGATGCTAAAAACACCACATAATAATAGAAGAAATTCTGTTTCCAGGGTTGGTTGGACTCTCATGTTCTTTCAAAGGGATGAAATTCAGATGGCATCCCTCTTCTATGGACATTTTCTTTAGGCCTTAAGCTTTTTTTCAACCACTTTCAAAGTTTTGACAAGGATCAGAATTCACAATTTGCTGCCACGGTCAGCTAAAATGACTAGATTCAAACTTTGTAAAAATGATAAAAGAAAAACCTTGAAATGCCTTTAGGAAGTCTGCCTTGAACAAAAAAAATACAATTAAGAGATAACAAGCAGGTCTGGCTGCTTGAAAGCAAAGAAAAAATAATAATAATCTCAGTTGGGTAAAAGACTCGTACAGTATTATGCATGCAGTGGCGGAGCTAGACTTTTTTTCAAGTGGTGGCCAAAGGGTGAGCAAGGCTTTATCAGAGGGTCCATATACAAATGGACCGTTCCATGGAACGAAAGGAAAAAATGTTTGTTTCCTTTCGTTCAAAATTAATTAATATAACTAGTTAGGTTATAATTCAAAGCTTTCATATGACATAGCCTACTTACATTTCAGTCATTATAAAAACTTAATGGTTTTTCACATATTCTTACCACACACATTTCAAGCAAGAGCTGGGAGATATAAAACATTAGAGGGCAGCATGTGCACTAAAACATGTTAAAAGAATCTGTCTAAAACACGATCTATCAGCACTAGCATGGATAATATAATAAACGAGGCACCAAGCAGCAGTACACAACCATTTTTTTTTTTTCTTTTTAGAAATGTATGACAAGTGCCGCCTCTCATTAGGAAGGTATCAGCGGTTACCGCTGAGCGGTAAAATGTTGTAAATACCTGCAAAACTCCTGGACGGTGTAACTCTAAAGCCTTGATGTGTTTTTGAACAAGCAGGACCCACATGTCAGTTTAACCAATGAACGGCGTCGGGCATCGGGCTGCCTTCAGGGACAGTCGGAAATTACAGTTTTCCTGGCAAATCTTTGCCGATCTCATAAGTATTATATTTTAAAATTACCATTTCCAGTGGGGTGGCACTAGGGGTGGCCAGGGCTCTGCTGGGGGTGGCAAGTGCCACCCCGGCCACCCCTCTGGCTCCGCCACTGTATGCATGTGCTTCACATAGCATTCAAAACTGATGTAAATTTGAGCTAATTAAACATCAGACTATTCTCAATAAGACTTTTATGTGATATTATTGAACCATGATTGTAAACACACCAGCAACCCGGCACTCTAAAAGTATGTTACAGAATATTTTGAGGGGTATTTAGAAAAAAGCTGAGTATACAGAGAGCATCGTGCAATCACATTTCTTTTGCTTTCCAGCAGGTCCTTTCATTTATCACAGCATGCAGGTGATAATTACCTTGATTTTTGCCTAACAACTTCTTTCATCTTAGTTGTGATGTGAAATTGTAACCATAGTGACCACTCACCATCGCCTCTCCTGTATCTTGGCCTCTCCTTTCTGTCTCCGATGATGTCTTTGTTGTTATTGTGGTACGACGAGTCCTCCTCGGCCAGAACCTCGCTGTTCTCCAGGTCTCCCTCTGATGATGGAGATGCTGCTGGTGAGATGTCGTCCCGAATGCCCCCTGCGCCAGAACCTGAGTGATTTTCACTGTTGATCTCACTTTCATTTTTCTCCCTATCCAGTCGGGATGCTTGCATGTTCCCCTCCTTGTCCGTACTGTCACTTTTTGCTCCAGGATCTGGCTGGTTTCTGGGGCTTGAGGGGTTTGATGGGCTGCAGCTGCCCAGGGAGCCAAGGACAGAACTGGGGCTGGAGTGCAGAGACAAGGAGGGGGTCTCTGGTTCTCTGATCCGGGTGCAAGGCGCTCCGTATGGCTCCTGGACAAATCCCACAAACATCATCCCCTGGTCAGCGAAATCCTGCATCTGCTGTGGAGAAAAAGAGCAAAATAAACATTTCAAAGCATAATTGACAAAGGTCACCTGATTCTTAATAAACACAACTGTTAATCAATACATGCAAACCTATAACATATTGAATACAAAGCATTCTTCACAGATTTAGAGGTTTGATTGGTTCTGCCAGTTTCCAAACTCACAAAACAAGTTACTGGCCATAATGAGGATGATATGCAGACAATTAATGAGAAGGCAAATCCTTCAAATTTCAAAGGGCTAGCATGTCTTGAACTAGCAGTAAGAGGCACAAGTAATGAGAAGAGAAATAAAATTGTATATCATTGATGGCAATAGACCAGGTCAGACCAGGTAGTGCATTCCAAGTTTATATTGGCATTTTGGGGCTTTCTGGTTTTACTTGAGGCCAATTGTTCCAGCAGTGTTGGAACTATTAGTTACTCAAATGCATCTTCACTTATCAGAAAAGTTGGAATTTCCAACGACTGGCCAAAGGAAGACTAAGATGAATACATACCAGGTGGCCAAAAAACTTCATGAATCATCATGAATCTTGTCTCTCCAACTTGGATCAGAACTGATCCAAGTCTCTGCTTTTGGTTCCCATTAACACAAAAGCAGAGACTGAAATTCAATTTAATTCAGCTTATTTATGTTCACGACCAATCTCGCCTTGGTGCTCTTTACAAGAAAAATAATTCAGTCAAACTATACAGAAAGATTCAAGGGGGATTTTATTGTAATCCGTAGCGGGGCCCAGAAGATCTTTGGGAACCACTGATCTAAGGAAACCCTTTAACCTGCAGCGATCACTCTTCCTGGATAAGTATCTACTACACATCCTATTGCAATGAGTAGTTAAATAATCATCATATTGGGCCTGAATGAAGGGAAAGCAGAGGAGAAAAGTTGCTGTCATGCGAAGAGACATTGGTTTGATTAATTTCATCCCTCATACTGTTGTGACGAATCCTGGTAACTCTGCAGCACCATGTGTGCATGTACTTATGGTTGACCATAATATTGGGATATCCCAAATTAACAGCCGTATTTTTTGAGTACCATATTTAAAAACGGTAATTACTGTGTTAACTGTCCTATGACCAATTTAAATTTGTTATAGTTTGTTTTTGTGTGGAGGTTGAGCTTCCTTGTAATTCTTCTTGTGCTGCATTTCAACTGTGCAGCAGAATACGTTTCTCTGCAGCAACCCTTTGAGTTTAGTGAAGTTATTGCAGAAAATGTGGTTCAAAGGCGCTATCAGTGCATTATGGTGATGCTACAGCTTGTTTTGTGTTTATTTCTTTTATAGGGCAATGATCAAAAACTGTATTTAAACTGCATTTTCTTATCATCTCTTGAGAAATGTGTGTCTCGTTTCTTATCAGAAACCACCAGGTGGGATGAATAATTTTGGTTTAACTCTACATTTTCTGTATGCCTCTCCTGCAGTCACACAGCTGTTGATTCGATCACGGACGCCTCGATGATCTTGACCTGTGTCTCATACCAAATCTGGCACCTCTGTTTTTCCTGTTTGTCATGTGGCATTTTGTGTCGGCATTGAGTTGCCGCTGCAGATTGAAACGTTAACTGTCAGGGAATGTTAATGATGCCATTCTCCATTTGTGCCACCTATCTCTGAGTTGAGGCTGCCCCTTTTTCTATCTTGAGCCTCATTGGGAGGAGAAAATAAAAATCAAATCAAACTGCAGGTTATTCACTATGAAATTGAATTGGAAAACAGTCACTCTGTCTCCAGCCATATTGTTTAGCATCATTTAAATGCCGTCTGGCTGCTTTCACATAATATTCCCCATTCCAGTATGTTCAAATGGAACTGCTGACATAAAAGGGAGCAACTGCTGCATCTCATTTTATGGTAATGCGGCCAGTCTGAGGTAAAAATGAATGGCTCTGACTGACTAATGTCAGTGCAGTTGATGGAACAATAGATCCAAGATGATGGGTTGTGTTGACTGAATTTACTTTTGGTTCCATTTTGGTTTTTGTCATCATCATTTCATTAAGTCCTGGCACTTGACAATTCAAAACAATTCAGAACAGATTTATTTTTCATCTTGGTAACACAAGCCAGAAGACAGGACGAGTGTCAGGATGGCAGATTGACACAAATAAAAGTGAATGAGAAACAAAATTAGTCTAAGCAAACAAAAAAAATATCTGCTCTACAATAAGAAACAGTTAATGGAAACTGATAAATAGCTGTTTGGAAATAGGAGAAGCAATATTTCCAATGGCGCAACATAACAAATGTTTTCAGAAAAATTAGTAAACTATCTTTAGACGTCAACAGAAGATTGAACAGCTTTAAATGAAAACAAGTCACCATCTTCATTGCTTGTAGCGATGCCTAGAGGTCAATTTTAGAGGAACTGTCTATTCATAAGTCAACTATGTCTCAGTGTGCACTAAGACAAGAAACAAACAGATAAGGTGAGAAGAAAATACGGGGACAAGAATAGTTCTGAAACATATCATAGACCAGCAGACTGGGGAGGTAATGCAGAGTGAAATGTAAAACTTGAGGCATAGCTGTAGGAAAGAAAACCGCATATTGACGCAGAAAGCATGTCTGGATGACTATAGGCTGAGATTAAACTGTCTATAAGACTGCATGGTAAGGATTAAAAAAGATTTCTTGCCTTTCAGGTCGATGGTTCCAGACAACAAAATGTGATGTTAGCATGCAGCTACTGAAAGAAGCATTAGCTTCCCTGATGCTAAATGTTCGTAATGACTTTCTGTTTTTTTGCTGTTTCAGTTTTTAACAAGTCACATTCTTGGATCTTGAGAAATAACAGCTCATTATTATTATTATTATTTTAAATGCCTCAAATTCTCTCAGATGTAATTGACTTCAGGGAACTTTGTCTTCAGTTTATCCCATGAACTTATATTGGATTTCTAATAAGGACTTTGTGCAAATCAGTCAATAACCTCCATTTTGGGGGTAGGTCTTTGCAGCAGCGATGCATGTTCAGGGTCATTGTCAGGCTGGAAGACACAGCAACAACCAAGACCTTTGTTCTCATTACATTTTTCTGTTTCCCAAAAACTTCCCACATTCATCTTTCACCATAATTCCTTTCACAGTGACAAGAATCATAGTTCCAGACACACAGAAGACACCAACCATTATTTGCTGTAAGGACGCTGTCTTTTGGGTAAAAGTCATCTCCTTTATTTCTCCAAACATAAGCAGTTCCTCTGATTTTGTGTTCTCTAACTGAAGGACATGCTTCGTTCATGCAATCTTTCACCAGGGTTTCCTTAATATATTTCTCTCTGAATTGAAAGAGCCTCTTTTGCAGAAGTGAAGATTTTGTAGATTTGCAACCTTGTCTTCCATTCCCGTGAAGAGCTTATGTTAGACTATATTTCTCACTTGCATAAGTCGTTTTTTTATTTTGCCACTTTTGAAAGGGTCCTTAGCTGACATCCCTCACCAGTTTTCTTTATTTTGTGCCTTACCTCTGCGAGGATTGTTGTGAGCTTTGTGACTCTCCCTGAATTTCTCACTTGTCTCTGCAGCTCTTGATATTTGGAAATGCAGTGAGAACTTTTCTCATACTTATCAAGATTCTCAAATTCAAACGGATTTCTTCTATTTTTTATTTTTTTTGACAATACTTTCTCAAGTGACACATCAAACATTTACTAAAGTTCTTCTAATATGTGTAACTTAGGAGAAAACCTTCAAGCAGTTCTTAATGTGAGGTATCAATTTTGTGGAACAATATTTCTGTGTGCAAAATAAATGTATGATGTCTAACTGCACTTAAGTTATATTAGAACAATAATTACGTTGTCAAAATGGGGACAAATATTTTTCTCAACTGTATCAATGACAACAAGGGACTCCAAAACAGAACCCTGAGGAACATCACTGTGTCCAACAATATTCTTAACCAAAGAAACATCAAACTGAAGTTATTGTTCCTGTATAATAACTTTTCTTGAAAGTTCTTGTCAATATCTCTGTAATATTGGACATTTTAACTCCATCTACTATTAATTCTCTATTTTTTGGTATTGGGGAAGTTTTTCTGCATTTTGGTTTAATCAGTGTCAACACTTTTGTGGTTTCCCTTGTATTGGGTAAATTTATATGCTGAAATAAGAATAAAGAAAGACCATATACAATTAGTTTTGTGGATTTAGGTTGGTAAAAGTTACAATTAGGTATGAATCAGTGTCCAAAAACAGCAAAGTTTTTATGTTGGAAATAAGTGAAAAGCAGCTTAAGAGAAGCTAAAAGGGTAATTTTGGGGACAGGAATGGTTTTAGTGAAATCGACTCTCGTGAATAGAAAAAATAAATGAAGGTTAAAATTAATGATTTGCATTTTTCTGAGCCTCTTATTCTACATGAACAGAGAGATTTCACTGGCTCAAAGGGGATCGTCCTTAGGTCACAAAAATGAGGGTTCGAGGTTGAAATCGCATCATTTCTCTTCATTAACCAAAGTGATGCAGGGCACAAATTTGATGAAAATATTCTGGGAGTAGCTTACAGTGTACTGCCACTGGAATATCAACAGCCTGTGGTGAAAACCCCATTTCAATTTTGACTTGAGACCACATTTCCTATTTCCCCTGTAAGTTATTAAAGCAGCACCAGGAGGAGGTGTCTGAAGGTCAGGATGAAAACCCCGGAGAGGGACAGAGCAGGCAGAGATGACAGAAAAAGAGACTGAAATGATAATGACAGAGACTCCTTCAGTAAGGAGAATAAAGAAAAGATAAATGAGAGGAAGAATGAAAAAGTGTTGGGAGGGGAAAAAATAAGGAATTCAAGAGCCCAGACGCAGAGGAAAACACTTTGTTTCTCACTCATCCATGTTCACCTCCTTTTTAATAGATTTCTAGCAAGGCTTCCTGTTCCTCCTGCAGCTCAGAAGATTAAAATGATAACCAACAGTAATGAGGTCCTACAGGACTGTGGTTGCATGACTAATCGAAGAGCAAAATGTACATAAGAGTTTGGGG